AAAATTTTGGCCACTCGACTGAATTCCTTCCTTTCTCGTCTGATGAAAAGGGACCAGGTGGGATTTGTCCCCCACAGACAGGCTGGAGATACCATCAGATGCATTTTACAATTACAACATTTAGCTCATACTCGCAAGATTGATATGATGCTCCTAGCTTTAGATATCAACAAGGCCTTCGACACTTTATCCTGGCCTTATCTTTTAGCAGTCCTTAACCGCTTTGGCCCCTCATTCTTACGATGGATCTCTTCGCTATATACATCCCCTCAAGCAAAACTTAAATACTATGGCTTTGAGTCCTCTACCTTCTCGATTGCCAGGGGTACTAGACAAGGTTGTCCGCTTTCCCCCATACTTTTTATTCTAGCCTTGGAATTGTTGGCAGAGGCCATTCGCATGCATCCTGATATTAAGGGAATTGATGTAGCCGGCTCCCAACATAAGTTGTCTATGTTCGCAGATGATATATTGTTGTCAATTACGAATCCAGGGGTTACTTTGCCAAATTTACTGGCGGTTCTGGATTCCTTTGCAATTCTTTCGGGTCTTTATGTCAATCCTGCCAAATCAAAAGCTACGTCAATTTCTCTCTCCTCATCACTTTTGGCTACTTTGAAACATTTGTTCCCTTTTCAATGGCTCTCGGCCCTACCATATCTAGGAATTAAGCTCACCCCGACATATGACGGACTATACCGGGCTAATTTCCCCACTGTCTTCCAAGAGCTGACCGAGATGTTGTCCTCCTGGTCTCATTACCCGCTTTCATGGTTCGGTAGAATCAATGCGATCCGTATGACCTATCTCCCTAAATTATTGTGTATTTATTTTGCATTTTACCAGTTTCTGTTCCTTCGCATATATTGTGTATCCATCAGCGAAAACTTTGGTCCTTTATTTGGAGTTCTTCTCGACCCAGAATTAGTAAACATATTTTATTTGGTCGAAGGAGTGAGGGGGAACTATTTGTCCCAAATCTCCAGTCTTATTACCTGGCTGCTAATATTGCCCCCTTAGCTCATATTCATGCATCTCACCATTTCCCTTTGTGGGCTACTGTGGATGTGTTAGACTCCCATCCGATACCACTCTCCTCCTTACCGTGGCTTCCTTTTTCTCATCGTCCATCAACCCTTAGCCCAATGCTGATGCTCTCGTTTCGCCTTTGGGATTCCATTTAATACTCCGCTGGCCTTATCTCTGCCCATCTACCATTGTTACGTCTGTTACATAACCCATTATTCCCTCCAGGCAAGGACAATCCTAGGCAATTTGCTTGGTGGCAAACACATGGTTATTATGATGTACATTTGTTACCATCTCCTACTCAAATACTTACCTTTGAAACTTTGCCTATAACATCCCTTTGCGAGAACACTTTGGTTACCTTCAACTCAATCACTTTATTAATACACTAATACGGACGCACTCGGGACCTTACTGTCTGTCCAACTTTGAAAGCCAGTGCAGACATAGACCCCATGCTCCGGGTCTGATCTCTTTGGTTTACGCTCCCATTATTTCTTATAGAACTCCTCTGGTCCGTTCATATCATCTATGTTGGCAGTTTGAACTTGGGGGGACTTTGGATCAACAGGATTGGCGGACCATGACCCAAGCAGTATCTAAATGTTCTAGGAATGTTATCATTCTTGAAAATGCCTACAAAATTCTTTATCGATGGTATTTTACACCTGCTCGTCTTGCTGGTTTTAATCCTACATACTCTCCGGCCTGTTTTCAGGGGTGCCAACAATTCGGTACTATGGTTCACATCTGGTGGACTTGCCCTAAAGTTAGCAGATTGTGGATTAGGGTTTATGCCCTTCTCCGCACTATGCTTCACGCAGACATTAAGAATAACCAATATGAAGCACTCCTATTTAAACCATTGGAGGGCCTTCTCCGCTCTAAACGGCAGCTGGCATCACATTTATTTATGGCTACTAAATTGACAATCGCGAGGGCTTGGAATACTCCCCTCCCTAGCTTCGAGGCTGTCAAAAACCGGATGAATTTCATAATGGTTATTGAAAAACTGACGGCTATTCTGCTGGATACCCATACAATATTCCTGCAGATATGGCGTCCCTGGCTGGATACAGCCCAGCCTTCGAGATTTGACCAGTCCCTTCTGTTGATATGAGGATTGATTCTGTTGCAGCTGCCCTGGAGCCCTTTTGTGATTGTTTTTTTTTTTGTTGTCTTCATCTTCTCATTGAGTGTCTCTCTATTCTTCTGTCCAATCCGTCCTTATGCTAATTGTAACTGAGTGCTACATCTGCAATACTACCTAGGCAATCTGGACTCCATTGAGAGCCCAATGTCTGGAATATATATTAACCTCTGGAGAGGCCTTACTTTATGCCTTCCCTGTCTTCTATGTGCTGATATAGCATTGTCATTGACCTCCAAATGTTTGCTCACTATTTCCCCCTCATTCCCTCCTTTCCCCCCCCCCCTTCCCTGTTTTCTCTTCCATGGCACTTGAATATTCAGTTTATCCTTATGCTTCTACCAGTATATGTTCTGAAATATTTCTCAAATGCCCGGTATGTCTCATACTTGTTGGTCAATGTATATGTTTCATGAGTGCTTGTTTATCTCTGCTTATTCTACAATAAAATCCTTTGTAAAAGAAAGTTTAAAAAAAAAAAAAACGCTAATTTTGAAAAAAAAAAAACAAAAAAAAACTTTTTTTCACTTTAAGTTTATTGGATATGTTTTATAACCAAAAGTTGGTCGTAAATTTAGGCTAAAAATGTATTCTGCTACATGTCTTTGGTAAAAAAAAATCTCAGTACATGTATATTAATTGGTTTGTGTGAAAGTCTTTGACTGCCTATCACATTACTTGAGGTGCTAAAATGCCAGGGCAGTACAACTCCCCCCCCCCCCCCAAATGTCCCTTTGGAAAGTAGGCACCCCAAGGATTTTGCAGAGAGGCATGTTGAGTCCATGGAACATTTTATCTTTTGCCACAAATTTTTTTGATCACTTTTTTTTAAAACATTATATATTTCTCATGCATGTCATGCGTATATGTTGAATAACACCCCAAAACACATTCTTCATGCATGTCATGCGTATATGTTGAACACCCCAAAACACATTCTTCATGCATGTCATGCGTATATGTTGAATAACACCCCAAAACACATTCTACTTCTTCCGAGTATGGGGATACCACGTGAGACTTTTTGGCAGCCTAGCTACATACAAACCCCCAAAAACCCAATGACTACCTCCAGACTTTCAAAGGGCATATTTCCTCATATCACTTCCCCACTACCTATCACAGTTTTGGAGGCTCTAAAATGCCAGGATAGTACAAACACCCCCCCCCCCCAAATGACCCCTTTTTGGAAAGTAGACACCAAGGAATTTGATAAGAGGCATGGGGAGTATTTTACATATATTTGTCACAGGGTTTAAAAAAAAAAAAAAAAAAACAGACACACTTTTGGTTTTCTTTTTTCCTTTTTCCAAAACGTGACAACAAATAAGATATGCAAAACACTCACCATGCCTCTTAGCAAATACCTTTGAGTTTCTATTTTCCAAAAAGGGGTAATTTGGAGGGGTTGCTTCTACTATCCTCGCATTTCAGGGCCAACATTACAAGCTTATGCCACACATCACCCACTCTTGAAGACCAAGCCTTTGACACTTTGGGGGTTCAAAGTAATTTTCTAGCAAAAAAGGTTATATTCATGTAAGGAAACATTATATATATGTTTTTAAAGAAGAGGCCCTAGAGAATAAAATGGTGGGTGTTGAAATTTATGTCACCGTATTTGTGCAGAAATTTTTCAAATGAAAATCTGAGAAAAATACACTTTTTAGAATTTTAATGCACAAAAACACAATATATTGCCCAATTGTTTGGTATCTATTTACTCAACATAACATCATCTTTAATATTTTATCCAACATGACATGCTTTAAAATTACACATGCCCGTGCAATGACAACAAAGTACAGACATATTTTTTATCAACAGGCGACGATACAATACAAGCCACCAATTTATATTTACACTAGATTTCTACATACCGGAACAGGGTCAACGCTTGTGCACAGGTGCACGTGCGAGCAGGGAGGCAAAGGTGCTTTTTTTCTTATTTTGATTTTCTGTAATCATTTTTACACTGTCCCTTTCACTTTTAATGCTATCACATGGAATGCAAATACCCCCTATATCTTCAATGGGCATTGTCTTTTTTTTTTTTTTTTTTTAAATCTGGGGTCTATCGGAGACTCTAGATATGTCCTCTGCCCCTACATTATCTAATATCACCAATATCAGTGTGATCAGATGCCTTCCCAATTTACAAATGGCGCTGTTTATATCCTGCCAAACTGAAGTGATGAAATGCTTGTAGCTATAAAGAGGACTGGAGCCATTCTGGACTCTGATCAGCTCTGGTCAGCCAGCGGAACTGCCAGCTGCATTCTCAGATCCCCCCCAAAAAAACTTGGAAGGCAGCGGGGGATGTGCAATTCAGCAGCTAATTGGCCACTAGGATTGCTTTTACATGAAAGCTGACCGCCAACTGAAAAAAACAAAAAAAAACAAAAAACACACTACCAGAATGGTGCCTGTAGCTGCAGGCATCATCCCCGTATAACCACTCAAAGTCCAACGATGTACCAGTACATTGCTGGTCCATGTTGGCCATATATGTAGCAGCAGAGAACACAGGCATACGTCGAATTAGCTCTGTGGATCAACATGACCGCAATTCATTCTTTTCTGTAATGCCCATGTTGAGGTTTCCATGCGAATTGTCTGAAAAGAGCTAAATTTGAGTGGCTGGCCATGTATTGTGTTTATTACATATATTACAGAAGCAAGAAAGCCCTGCAGCTCATCTCCCTTAGAGTCCTTGACTTTTATACAAGAGACCAGTATCACTAAATACATAAACACTGTAATGCAAGTACATTTGTTTAAAAAATGCATTAAAAAGGGTTGGGAGGACAAATTTACTTACCAATCATCATTGTTGAATACAATAAATCCAGCTCTACCACGTCCAAAAGCAACTTGATTTTGTCCATTATCCCACCAGTTAATAAGAGCTTGACCATTAACTACATTACGAAAGATGACCATGTTCCTACAGAAAAAGATTTGGTAAAAGTTACTGCCAGGTTTTCCCATCCAATGCCTTTCTATGTTTAACACTCCTAAGCTGTAGCGGACATTAAGGTCATTTCGGTGCCAACTCTTAACTTCTGTTTTCTCATTTTCATTTTTTCTGTTTCCAATCAGCACATTAGTTTTTATTTCTGACAACATTGAGATTGTAAAGTAAAAAATTCACTCAGTTTAGTGATTATGAATTGTCCTCAAGTATGTTAAAGTGCTTTGGTATCCCATCTGAGCCAGGAATAAAAAGAAAACGGTTTTCAATAAACCCTCTTCACACACTAAAATACATGTACAAGCTGGCCGACTGACATACAGAAAGAAGCCTATTTATAAAAAAAAAATGAGTTGAATTTGGCAAACATCCGCACAGCCTCAAAAAAATAAATGCTGAATTTATTCTAATATCCTCACAAAAAATGCTGAATTTATTCTAAATATTTTCCAAGATGGTCAGTGCCATCTAGTGGCCCTAATGCAATATTTTTTGCCCGATTGAGGAATTTCGCCTCATTATAAACATTAGATGGCACTGTCGAAAGTACAAAATGTTTGTAACATTTGTACAATTTTTTTTTATAAATAGACTTTATATTGTACTTTAGAGGACTTATTGTGCCAGTGTGAGATAAACTGCAACATAACTATAAAATTTAGGTTCTGAAGATGTATGTAATTTTCTTACATACACACGCACCAGTTTTAGTTCTATTGCATAGCATGGCAAATACATACATCATTTTGATAACATCAGTACAGAAAAAAAAAAATCTGAGGCCCCAAATATGTCTGATGTTCTGAATGACAACTGACATTGCAAAGTGAGCATTTAAGTAGTTGTAAAGAAAATATTTACCTGAATGCATTCCTTGCATAAAATAAAAAAAAAATAATTAATTAAAAAAAAGTTTAGGCAATAGTATCCTGCCTCACCCCCTACATATCTGAGCACTCACTCCTCCAGAGCTGTGCTCCTCTGCAGTGGCTCTCTCCCTTCACGTCCTGGTTTCACAGGCTTTACTGAGGCAGTGGAAGCCATTGGCTCCTGTTACTCTCAAACACATGCTATGCGGAGGGAAGTCAAGCCATGCTGTCTGTCTATAGACGCAGGAAAGAAGGAAGAATGAAGGTGAACTTTCACATTTTGCCTTACAGCCATCAGATTATGCATTTATGGGCCAGATTTAGCGCACTGGTATTGCATATAGAATTCAAAAAGTGGTATATTAAGACTTACCACATGAATGCTTGAATAATGAAAAAGGAAACATTTTATTCATTATTGTCTGGAACTTTTAAACAAGTTTCATAGCATTTCTTATCCCTCAGGATTTTGAATGCCCGATTCAGCAGTTCATATTGGTTTAGCTTCAGTTCTGCTACAATGAGGTAGATAGCTGATTATAAAACAGTCTACCAATGTTTCCATTGTGAGCAGTACATCATTCTCCATATAAAGTGTTAAAACTAATAAGTTATGTAGTCAGCACCATGGAGTTCTCAGCACTCTGAAAACCACACATTGACCAGGATGACTTTACTGTAGTAATTTACATTACTTTTCCAAAAGCTGGAGGGCAGGCCTTGCTCTCAATCTATTGATGTCCTTGATCTATGATATACATCCTTAATGTTGTTTGATAAAAGTAAAGCTCAGGTTTATTCCTATTTTTGACTTCCAAATATGCACAGATACTGTACATATTGTAACTTAACTAGTCTTCAGAATCATCAGCATTATTTATTTAATTAAGTCAGTGCTCATTTTGAAGGCTACACTTTTGTGGCATTTAGCAACTGTCAAGCTTCACATTTTAAACACTTTTCCTCTGTTTCTGCTGTCAGTCCTTGGCATATGCTGTAATCTTTTAAATGGTTTCACATAGCACTATGTATATAATTGTTGTTGTTTATGTTTTATATACGTTTCAGTATGCTGCCCTTCCTGCTGAAAACACGGAGTTGCATGGGTAGCAGCATCATACTATTTGGTGCATATGATTTCTTGTGCATTTTCCAATGTGTGGAGGCACCATTTACAATTACTGGCACCCCTGTGTGTCTGCTAAAGAGCAGGGTGTTTTGCCTGCAGGTCAGGAATGTGTGCGATTTTGCATTCCTGACCTGGATAGGTGTGAGCCTAGGCTAACTCTGAGACTCCTGATTCAAAGAACGAGCCTCGCTAATCTTGTGCATTCTGGAATGCCAGCTTTGTCTCTAACAAGCTCACCTTTGTCCATGACCTCTATTTCCAACTCCTTTAACATACTTCCTGTTACTGAAACCTGGCTTCAGGAAACTGACTATGCCTCTTCAACTAAAGTATATATATCAATTAATACGGCGCTAGATAGAACAAGATAATATAATTCAGTATATATCAAAGGTGAATAAATATCTGACATTAGATAGGGTGAAATATATATATATCTGGCATCTATAAAGGGTGAGATGGAAGGCTAAGAGAGTGACATGCATTAAGATGACAAATGGTGAATAATGTCCTTGGTAAATCACACAGACTTCATGCAGGTGTGAGCTGCAATGTGCCAATCCTCTAAGGCTGGAGTGCCCCCTCACCTTCCTGCTCAGGCCCCCAGGGACCAAAGAGCATTGGGTAGTAAATAGAATATTCCTCCAGATGACAAGTAGAACTCTCTGGCGCGAAGGTATAGCTCTCTCTCTTGACTAGCCTCAGTACTGGATAGGTAAGTCTCAGCAACAGATGGTACGCCTCAGCAGTGGATGATACCTAAGATGTCTCTCCGGTATGACTCTCCCATACGGTCACCAGTGAGGCAAGAGAGACTGGTATAGTGTAAAACCTTTTATTATGTGTAAACGATACTAAAAAACTACTTACAAAGATCTTAAGACAAGCAGGCCTTTACACCACTCCAAGGGTGTACTGTGTTGGAAAACGGAGCACCAAAATGGCGCCCACGCCGGATGTGACGTCAAGCCGTCGATCGTCAAAAACTCCTCCCACTGGCGTATCTACGCGTTACGTCACTCAAACACGTGACTTCATCAGGATATACGCCTACTACTGGTGGAGCCTAATTTATTGGATGGATTAGTCAATCAGCACTCCTACTAGGCGGTGCCAGCCTCCATTAACTTGGAGTACTATACCGAGGACAAACTTCTGTACGTATATGCGGCAATCCTTTGATTCAATGCCGGAGTAAGTGTCCGTAACATGATAAAAACAATAACAGCGCAAAAAAAAAACGTTAAATGTGATGAATATTAAATAAAAACAAATTAATATGGTGCGAGCTCCGATCACAGGGCTGGGCACCCTAAGGCGGCACTCTAACATGCCTGCCACCGTATAATATCACAGAGGGAAAGAACCCATAGATATATGGAATCTAAACATAGATCCAAAACAAACCCGTTGTATGGAGATAAATGAAATATATAAAAATATATAAAAAAATATATATAAAATGTATTGGAAACCGAAAAATGTCACAGGGGCCCATTAATACAGTATATGCTGGTCACAGGATGACATATCCTAAACTAATATAAAGTATAAAGTTATTAAAAATAATGGGACCCTAATTAATAGATAAGATGCAGGCTCCTATCACAGGACTGAGCACCCTAAGGCGGCACTCTCCACATACCAGCCACCTTACAGTACCACACAGATAGCCGCCCTAATAGGAAGGTGATATGAAGACATGAATAAATGAGATATAGAGTATGTAGGAAACTAAAAGGAGCCACCGAGGCCCATTTTATACAGTTTAAACATAGGGATGGTTTACTACATAGCAAGTCCTAAGCTAATACAGGTTGTGACCCCTTGGGGTGTCACTATTAGGATAGTAAGCCCTAATTAAAAGTTGTTAATGAAGCAATTCAAGTCCTTAAGGCCCCTAGGTGCTTGGGACTGGAAAATCCACTTGGATTCACATTTGGCTAATAGATCCTTTGTTACTCCCCTCTCAGTGTCTTTTGTATTTCTCTGAGTTTAGAAGGGTCACTATGGTGATGGGTAGCAAAATGTCTGGGAACACTGTGTTTTGGTATGGCCTTTTTTGATATTTTGTATATGTTCCCTAACCCTCTCTTCCACATTGGGCCTCTTAGTTCTTCCTATGTATTGTAGCCCACTTCACACTGCAGGCAATACACTACTCCTTCACTCCTTCAGTATGGCATGTTATAAACTCCTTGATGATGTATGTCATTCCTGTGGTGGTTGCTTCAAATTGTTTTTTCGTTCTCCTCCTATTGACCCCCTTTGTAGCCTTACACACATAACATGTATTGCACGGGTAGAAGCCCTTTAGGTCGAAAAGTGCCTCTTCAACTGCCCTTTCCCACAGTGGCCTCCACTGGACTCACCACAACTCACAGAAGAGGAAATGCCTTCTATCCCCACAATACACAAAGCTTTTTTTCCTCCCTTACCTCCTTTTCTATCGCTTTCCTCTTAATGCTTACTGTATTCGTTTTTTCCAGTTTCTAGGGATCACTATGATTTATCAGCCTCTGGGGCTTGTGTCATGTTTCCTTTATGGCTTCTCTGCCTGTCTACCCACGTTTAACACTTTCCTCCTTTGATCCAGTTACCACAGAGTAGGTTGCTGTATTTGCCTGATGCCCACCTAACCACCTGTCCCCTACTACTTTGCACAATTCCTGACTTTTTTCTATACTCTCCAACTCACGTCTTAATATTTCCCTCCCTACTGACATCTTCCCCACCACTCTCAAACATGAACTAGTCACCCACATACTAAATACTGAACCTCTCGTCTGAACAATATGAGAACCATCTCCTTGCTCCTATTTTAAACACCACTTCACTGTTATCAAGCTTCTTGAGCCCTCCCAATCTGGCTTTCACTCTCAACATTCCCCAGGAATCTGTCTTCCCAAAGCTCACAAAAGACATGCTAACTGCTAAAACCACTGGCCACTACTCCATATGCAGACTTACACAAC